ATAAATAAATAAATAAATAAATAAATAAATAAATAAATAAATAAATAATAAATAAATAAATGCAGTTTGCACAAGCTGAATATTTGTGCTACATTTTGCATGATTTGCATGCTTCCAAGTTGTTTCTAAAGTTAGCCCCAGTTAGAAAGAATTGCTGCAATCCTGTTTAGTAACTGAAACCAGCCTTGTTTAAGATAACTCATCGGAGGATTTGACCTTCCAGGAGGAAGATTAGGTGAGCAAGGCAGTAAGGTAGATTGCTATATTACAGTGTTTCTCAACCTTGCCTTTGAGATGTGTGGACTTTAACTCCCAGAGTGCAGGCTAGGGAATTCTGGGAGTTGAAGTTCACACAACTGAAAGTGGCCAAGAAACATTGCTATAATTAGTATACGAGGCACTGAATCTGTGTTTTGCTTGGGATGCTGCAGGATGCTAGCTAAGAAAGCACTGAAGAGACCTTTAGCATCCTGGCTAGAAAACGTCCTGTTTGTTTGATGCTGTTCATAGACTCTACCGAGAAAAGGAATTGCTCAATGGGAAAGGAAGCTTACTCTGGACTTTTGTACCGTTTACATGCCTTTTCCATGAAAAACAATACCAAATTATATGTTGCAATGGAGAAGGGATTTATTTGGAGGAAAGGTGAGAAGTCAGCTTAAAAGACATGTGTTTGGATTTTTTAAAATAATAGGTTCTCCTTTCTTGTGGAAAGATAAATCTTATGATCTGCTTCAGTTTTGTGGGCAAAGCACAGCTTCTGGTTGATGCTATTTCAATTTGGATAAACCTTTATTATTTTTGTTGGGCTAGAAAATGCTGACTCAGATTTGATTTTATAAGGGATGACATTTAAAAGAATGGGGGCTAATTATAGTTTCAACCATAGTTCCGCAGGAGAAGGCATTCATATTTCTGTTAAATATTTCTGGAGCAATATGATGACTCATTAAATACAACTTCTGCACTAAATACCCTGATTGCCTAATGATTAGGTGTTGGTAACTGAAATCACACGCACTCACACCATTCTTTCTCTCTCAAAATCCTTCTTGCATAAAACGAAGGAAATGTTGTTCTGAGTAATACATTAGCTGGGGTTGCCCAAGAATTGTAAAACGGCCTTTGGTTGCACAACATGTAAAAATGCAGTCTGGAAAATGTCTGTTATGCCTATGACAGAAATGTTACTTCTGTAATTACATAGGCAAAAATAGTAAAAAAAAAAAAAAGAGGATAATCTTTTTGATAGTGGTGAACAATATAATAGATGCTGATAATAAGTGTTAAATAAGTGTACAGTGGTCTAAGCACCCTGTTATTAACACAGCTGCCTGCAATTACTGCTGGTTCGAATCTCTCCAAGGCTCAAGGTTGACTCAGCCTTCCATCCTTTCTAAGGTAGGTGAAATGAGGACCCAGTTTGTGGGGGCAATAAGCTGACTTTGTATAAATATATAAAAGTATGAAGGCTATTGCTTAACGCATTGTAAGCCGCCCTGAGTCTCCGGAGAAGGGCGGCATATAAATCAAATTAAAAAAATAATAATTTCATAGCCAGCTGGTGGATAACTGGTGTAGGACAGTGGACAAAATTAAGTTCGTTTGCTTCCCTTCAGATCATTGTGGATTTTTAACCCATACTCTCTTGTGGGGTTTATGAAGATAAAGTGGGAATGGTTTTCAAAAATATAGATGGTTTTCTTCCAAGTAATGGCTTGGATTAATGTAACCTCTTAGGAAACAGATCTTATGATCATCTCAGCACTTCACATACCTCTACAGTTCAAATGTAAAAATGTGACTAAAATTATTTACTTGGAAAAAAAAATAGTTCAAGTAACCAAGAAGTTTACATGCTCAATAAAAAAAAAATGCATGAAAGTAATAGTGATATTGATTGAATGCTGTCCTACCCTTGGCGCATAGTCACATGTTGCCACTTTAAAATTAAGAAATCTAATTTTGCAAACAAATTGGAAAGAAAAGTCTTCTTTCCATTTCTTCTTTTTCCAATCAGATCAAGAAAAAAAGGGGGGGCCTCCTGTAATGGTGCTACTATCAATCTTAGTTTGATATAAGAGACAACTCTGGGGCTAAAACAAAAATGGGAATATATCAAGCCATAATTAATGATGAGCAGATGGATAATTCAGAGTTGATCGTAGCTAGGAAAATAATGATTAGCTGGCCCATCTGTCCTGCATTCTAGGAAAAAGAGGTTCAAGCAGCTTTGAGAGGTCTTGCTTTAATTGATTTACTAATAATTAGCTTTAAGAATTTTGGCTTATTCAGTTTCAAAGATTCCCTATGTTCACTCCCTAGCGTCTTGACAATAAACTGAGCTACAGAAACTCACTGTAAATCTTTCAGGGTTGTACTCTGCTGTTAGAGATTTGATGGTTCAGAGGGAGGAAGAGAAAGATTTTAAATCTATACTCATTTGTGAGTTGCAGACTCATTTAACTCCTATTTCCTGGAGAGCAGATTGAAGATAATTTCCATAGAGACACATTTTGTCCTTCTCAGTTTAACCAACTGAGTTGGGAGCTGTATATCTTGGTGCAGTTGGGCATTTCCCATTAGTTGGAAACATTCTGTTACTCAGCCTACCACAGGCAAAAAGGGGGGGCTTTTTTGGTCCCATATTTTGTTACCACAGGGAAAACCAGATGACTCTTAGAAAGTCCACAAGTTGGAAACTCTGATGTGGGTGCCATAAGCTACTAAAATCTAAAGACTAGTAGTTACTATTAGTTTAATCCTTTATGAATTGTCTATTCCTCTTCTAAAGTCCTTCATGGGAGACTCAACTCTTGGAGATTACAAGTAAATATCCAAATTTGCAGGCAGTCTATATAACCTACAACCATTTGTTCAGTAAGCTTTCGAAGTTACAGAAACTTTGGTCCCAATTGTGGTTATAAATCAAGGACTGTAAACAGATTCAACCTAGAAATAAGGAGACATTTTCTGACAGTGAGAACAGTCAACCAATGGAACAGAAATTGCCTTCAGGAGTTGTGGGAGCTTCATCACTGGAGGCTTTGAAGAAGAGATTGGACTGCCATTTGTCAGAAATGGTGTAGTGGGTCTCCAGCTTGGGTGCGGGTTGGACTTGATGACCTACAAGGTCCCTTCCACCTCTGTTAATCTGAGAAACTACCTGTACTTGGTAGCAATATGGAGGTGGTGGTTGTTGCCATCTTATGGGATACAATTTTCAAATTTTACAGTCTAGCCCATAACTTTTTTCTCTGGTGGTCTCCCATGCTAGTATTTAAACAGTATTTAATTTCCAAGCCCCAACAAGATGGTTGGTGATATTGATTGGATCTTGTAGCGATGAGTTCCACAGTTGAACTGTGCCGTCTTTAGAGAAACACTTATGGCAGCAATTATGAGTGCCGATGTTAATGGTATGGAAAGTTGAATTGCTGTATTTACATGTACCTTGAAAAAGACGGTTGATTTCCATGAAATGTTTAATCATAATAGACCATGAATTGCAGCTGTGATCCTGGCACAGCACTATTTTGATTTAATTTATTTATTTAGGGTTACTTACTTTAATCTTAATGCAGCATTACAATGCATCAAGCCTTAACGCATCAAGCCTTTACTTGATGTCTCAGAATATTAAATGACTATAAATACAATTTAAAACATATTTTAAATGGTAAACAGACATTTAATGGAAGAATTTGGTAAAGTAAGATAGGCAAATGGATTTTGAAACTGAATCCATCCAAAGGTGCAGGAAATCCTTGACTTATAACAGTTCATTTAGTGACCATTCAACAGCACTGAAAAAAAAAGTGAGTTATGATCATTTTTCACACTTATGACCATTGGTCATGTGATTTATATTTGGATGCTTGACAACTGATTCATATTTCTGATGATTGCAATGTCCTTGGGGACTTTTTGTGACCTTCTGATAAGCAAAGTCAGTTGGGAAGCCAGATTCACTTTAAGAATCACGTTAACTGGAATGATTCACTTAGCAACTGTGGTCATAAAATGGGGCAAAACTACTTAACAAATTTCTCATCTAGCAACATAGGTGAGAAATCTATGGGCTCAATGGTGGTAATAAGTCGAGGACAACCTGTATTTGAAATTCATGAGGGAGAGAACATGATCATTTCCCTCAAACCATCACTGAAAGAGCCTGTTTGTGATCTCCATCAATGATGGTTGGAACTGACTTTTAAAAGAAGCCACTCAGTCCGGTTTTCTATAATTAGAACGGCAGAAAAAACAATGGCTACCCACCTGCCTTCCATTGAGGACCTGTATACTGCACGAGTCAAAAAGACGGCTGTGAAAATATTTACAGACCCCTCGCATCCTGGACATAAACTGTTTCAACTCCTACCCTCAAAACAATGCTGTAGAGCACTGCACCCCAGAACAACTGGACACAAGAACAGTTTTTTCCCAAACGCCATCACTCTGCTAAACAAATAATTCCCTCAACACTGTCAAACTATTTACTAAGTCTGCACTACTATTAATCTTCTCACCATTCCCACCACCCATCTCCTCCCACTTATGACTGTATGATTGTAACTTTGTTGCTTGTATCCTTACGATTTATATCAATATTTTTTTCCTGGTTACTTATTTGTACCCTATGACTCATTAAGTGTTGTACCTTATGATTCTTGATGAACGTATCTTTTATTTTATGTACACTGAGAGCATATGTACCAAGACAAATTCCTTGTGTGTCCAATCACACTTGGCCAATAAAAAAAATCTATTCTATTCCCTAATCTAATCTAATCTAATCTATTCTAATCTATTCTATCAATGCAGCATTTAGGGAAATAGTTTTTACATGTTTAAATTAAACTATGTTGCCCCTGCTTTTTTCTTGCATACATTTACTATGTTTGTTCTAATTTGGTTCTCTCTAAACATCTTCAGATTCTAGTTGCCTGAAAGAGTGAATTCCTTTTTTTTTTTTAATTAAGTAAACTTTTATTTTGCAGATGACCTGGAAGAAATTAAGACAATGGAAGAAGTCATGTTAGAATATGCTGTAATGAGCAGAGAACTGAGTCATTATGTGCAAGCTGTTGAAGAAACAGTAAATCAGGTAAATGTGGCTGATCTTTAGTCCAACTTTTATAGCTTTCCCATGTCATGAAAGCAAACCCGGAGTTTGAAACACTCTAATGATTAACAAATTGTATGAGATCACTTTTCTTCTCTTGACATGTGACAGATAGCGAATTAGGAACTTAGTCACAGAAGCCGGTACTGTATTCATATATACGTTTTGTGTCTTAGAACAGTGGCCAGTATCTGCCCTGCCCATATGAGAACCATTTGTTTTCTTGTGCCCTCTTTAATTTTAAAGCTGATCTTTGGTAGTGGCTAAGGAAGATATGGATGCAGTGGCTCAGTGGCTAAGACGCTGAGCTTGTTGATCAAAAGGTCAGCAGTTCAGCAGTTCGAATCCCTAGTGTCGCGTAACGGGATCAGCTCCCGTTACTTGTCCCAGCTTCTGCCAACCTAGCAGTTCGAAAGCACGTAAAAAATGCAAGTAGAAAAATAGGGACCACCTTTGATGGGAAGGTAACAGCGTTCCGTGCGCCTTTGGTGTTTAGTCATGCCGGCCACATGACCACGGAGACGTCTTCGGACAGCGCTGGCTCTTCGGCTTTGAAACGGAGATGAACACCACCCCCTAGAGTCAGGAACGACTAGCACATATGTGTGAGGGGAACCTTTACCTTTACTTTTACCTTTAAGGAAGATGTGGGAATTCTTTTATTTTTCCTTCCCTGTAACTTGGAATAAAAGTGACCTCCCTTAGAAGTGTATCTGAAGCACTTTAAGTCAGGGGTTTTCAAAAATTTTAAAATCACAGAACCCATTAGTTTTTTTTTTTTTTTAAGTCCTTGAATTCCAGATCAAGAGCTAAAGCTTAGTGATGGAAAATTGGCTGATTTTGAAGGAAGGTTGGTGTATGTGTGTGGGTTGCTCCTGGTCTCTCATAGACCCCTGTCAAGTTCTTTAAACTTTTTTTTTTAAATTTGATTTATATGCCGCCCTTCTCCGGAGACTCAGGGCGGCTTACAATGCGTTAAGCAATAGCCTTCATACTTCTGTATATTCATACAAAGTCAGCTTATTGCCCCCACAAACTGGGTCCTCATTTAACCTACCTTAGAAAGGATGGAAGGCTGAGTCAACCTTGAGCCTGATAAGATTCGAACCTGCAGTAATTGCAGGCAGCTGTGTTAATAACAGGGTGCTTTAGACCACTGTGCTACCAAGGCTCTTAACTGTATTTTAATTTAATTGTAATTGTAATTTAAGTCTTAAAACTTAATTGTAGGGGTCAGTGGACCACAATTTGGAAAATGTCATTTCACTTATTCAGTATGTTATATGAGCTCAGCATTTGTTCCGTACCAATCCCTGGATTTTAACAAGTGACATACTTTTGCAAGCTTCTATAAAATTCTGGAACTGTTTCAAATATTTCAGTGGAATTATGAAGTACTCGAAATTGTGCCAAAAAAAAAAAAAATCCTTGGGGGTGCGGGGAAGGAGAGGTTAGGGGAGCTATCTAGCTGTATATGGAAGATGAAAATCTAAAGAGAAAGAAAAAATTATGTGGTAGAATAAAGGGAATGGTTAGTGACCATGCTATGAAAGTTTGAGACACCGCCAACTCCATCCATTCCCAAACCAGGACCATGCTGCTATGCTGGGACTACAACTCGCAGGCAGGGACCTAAGGAATTCTGGGAGCTGTAGTCTCAACACATCTACAGAGAACCAGGCTGGGAATGTCTGAACTATTTAATGAGATGCAATTATAATATGCAGACATGAAGCTTATAGAGTTAGGGGAAGGAATATTAACAATTCAGAGACTTTTCTGGTGATTTATAGCACCAAATCTCTGACGGGTGTCAAACTCGGGTCATTACGGCGTCATCATGTGACGTATCGTGACTTTTCCCCCCTTCTCTAAATCGGGCATGGGCACGTGACACATCCGGCCCACGAGCTGAACAGCCCTGTCTTAGAGATTCGGGTTTGGCCAAGAAAATTGGGTAACCAGGTGGTATTGCAAAAACTGTAGGATTGATTGAAGCCAGAGATCAGAGAGTTGGCTTGGACAGATCAGAAAGCGGTGAGAGGCATGGAGGTGGATTTGACATGGTGAAAAGAGCTGTAGCATGAAACACGCCAAAACTGTGTCTTCAGACATGCTTCTTCAAAGCTTCACTGGCAAGCTGGATTAATCCTTTCGTCCAGAGATTCCACATCCCTTAAATGTCTTAAAGACTAAGACAGGGGTGTCAAACTGGCAGCCTGCAGGCCGGATGCATCACGCACAGGCCACACCCACCCCAGCTCCGTGAAGGGAAAAAACATCAGGAAGCATCACGTAACGGCAACGTGACGCCGTGAGTTTGACACCCGTGCTCTAAGAGATGAATAGATAAAGGAGCATATTTGTAGCTCAGGCTTAAAATGAGGGGTCTTTGATAACTCTCTGATCTTGGCTGTTTTCTTGCAGTTGTTTCATTATCCAACTAGGTAACATCATCAGTGAGCTGCATTGATGATGTTACCTAATTTGGGCAATGACACTTTTGCAAGAAAACAACCAAGCTCAGAGAGCACCAAGGACCCCTCATGGATACGACCCTTAGCCTCTGTTTCATCACATTAACTTGAGATGAGGGACGATGAAATTCTGGTTATTGATACGGTTGCCACAGATTGAGAAGGCTTGGCTGTTCTGTCAATTTTGGGTGCAAGGCCTTTGCCCTCCAACGTAAGGGGGGTGGGAAAGCGAAGGGCAAAGGCCCCTGGGCTTGTAGAAAAGCAGAACTGGCATTCCTGCTCTTTCGTCGCTTTCAGCGAAGGTGTTGGCAGAAAATGCCCTTTCTCGCTTGCCGTTAATAAAAATCCGAGGCAGAACACTTCAGTTTGATGCATTTTACATGGATGGTGTTACAACCCAGGCTGTTTTGATGGAAGAGCTGACCTCGGATGACCCTGTCAGCATGATTGCTTTACAGGAATCACAGTTAGTGGCATTCATTATGAGCAGCCGCAGTCGCTGTTTTTGGCAGATTGGTGGGTGTTGAGTAAGTAATCATGAGATCACTTGCTGGTTCCCAGAGCTATCCATTTCTTTTCTTTCTCCCCCCCTCCCTCTATCTCAAATAATCCTTCACCCCTGCTACTTATAAAACAATAAAAGGGTCTGTCGAAAATGAAAGATTGGTAGCAAAACGTATAGATAGGTGCGTAGCTGAGAAAGCCAAGTTTTTGTTGACTTAAGCTGTTGTAAGAGCAAAAGGGCAGGTGAGCCACGCCAACATCCTCATTTGATTGACTCAGCACTCATTGAATAAGAAACCAGCAATTGAGTTGCTGTAATATTTCTAACAATTGGCTTTGGGAAACCCTTTGTTTGAGCAGAAATGGAAACTCCCTTCTGTGCTCCTTTTAGCTTACCTGGCAGGTAACCCACCTTTTGTTACTTCTCTTTTTTAGTAGGCTTAGGTTATTTTTTATTTCTCACCCACCCCTTTTTTTTTTCTTCAGATTGATCAATATTAAATTAGCAAATTTAAGTGATGGGCTTAAGTCAGGGCTGTCAAGCTGTTGGCCTGCAGGCTGGATGTGTCACACGCTGGCCACGGCCACACCCTGTTTAGTAAAGCGGGGGGGGGAAAGTCCCGATACGTCACGTGATGCTGCCGTGACGACGTGATTTTGACACCCCTGGCTTAAGGGTAACTTTATTTAATTTTTTAAAAGGAGGAAAAGTTTATATTTATTGAAAACACAGGTGTCAAACTCGATTTTGTCATGTGACACCTTGTGACTTTTTTGCCTTTGTGGAGCCGGGTGGGCGTGGCCTGTGCGTGATGCATCTGGCCTGCACGCCGCCAGTTTGACACCCAGTGGCAAAAATTATTTTCATTGTTTTCTTTGTCATGGGGCAGCATAAAGGGCAGGAATAAGCTCTGGACAGAGGATAGAGGACAGTCTGAGGGAATCCTCAGTTTATGCCTGCAATTGGGACCAGAATTTTGCTCATAACAGCCATAAATCGAGGCACCCATGTGATTGGACTAGATTTTATGACTCTTTTTACAGCAGTCATTAGGTGAATCACATAGTAAATGTGAACCCATTTCCCAGATGGACATTTTTTTGCCAGAAAAATGCTGCAGATCAACAAAAAATGTCATGAAATGTGGTCATGTGACCACAGGATGCCACAACCAATTGTAAATGTGAAGTGCCAAGTGCCCAAAATCACAGTCGTGTGAACACAGTGGCGGGGAGGGCGCCAAAACATTTTACGAAGGCTGGAAGTACTTTACGGGCCATAAAGCAAACTTTCCAAAGCTGTCGTAACTCCAAACAGTTGTTTAATGATAGGTCGTATGTCAAGGAATACCTGTCAAACATATGAAATTTTTATGCAGCCATTAGTCAATCAAAAATGGCTGAGATCTGCATTAAAAATCAAATATTGAAAAAAGTCTGGTGGTAGCACTTTTTCAAACTAAGATTTTGTTAAGTAAAATGTACTTTTTCTGATAATGATCAGTTGGGTATATGGATTACACCAGGGGTCAGCAACCTGCGGCTCTGGAGCCACATGTGGCTCTTTCACTCCTCTGCTGTGGCTTCCTGTCACTCAAAATATGCGTCACAACCGCCAATGTGCGACACTCGCTGGCATGCGATTTATTGAGCTTTTCAACCCCCGGTAGGCGAACCATGGATAAATCCAAGAAAAGAAAAGTTTCAGAAGAAAACAGAATGTTTAATTCGACTACATATGCTAGTTTTGTGGCCGCTCAAGAAATAGTCAGGCACGGGAAGGGTTTTGTGGCTCCCGGTGTTTTCTTTTCTGTGGGAAATGGGTCCAAATGGCTCTTTGAGTGTTTAAGATTGCAGACCCCTGGGTTACACTGTTCACTGCCCTCAACATCATGTATGGGTAGTCTTCAACTTACGAACACAATGGAGCTGAAAATTTCTGTTGCTAAACAAGGCAGTTATTACCTGGATTTTGCCCCATTTTACGACCTTTCTTGACAC